TTAAATGTATATCTCACTTTCTACTATGCATAGTGCTAGAGATAGTGCTCAAGGCTAATATCAACAAAGAAGGATAAAATGCAAACTTATAAGAATACACTAAGGTAAATCAGGGATAACTCATGAAGGAGAATGAGAAATAGCACCAACCTTTCCAGCAAACAAGACAGCTGAACAACCCAAAGCCTGTCTGAATGTAACCTGAAATATGTCATAGATAGATATGTCCTAAGAAGATCAAAACAAATAAGAAGGTTGCTTGAGTTTCTCAACATGACATTTGCAGACATAATATGATTAGGTTGAGTCTTGAAATGTTTATCTCCTGGAAGATGATCTGGATGACTTGACTGGATAGCTTTTCGAACCCCTCTGTCAAATCCTCCATTTTGTAATCCCTGCCTTAGTGTATCAAAAAAACAAGTGGATATGTTGAATGGTTCTCTTTTGGATTTTTTCTCTCTGTTTGGCTTGATACGCTCAATGAGTTTGTTTCTTGCGATGTTTGTCAGACAGCCTGCCAGCTGAAGGTTGACAGAGAGATTCAAACTGGCAGGATCATGTCTGGGAAACTAGCAGGAGGAGAAGCTGGGAGACTTGGGGAAAATCTCTGGAGCTCAGAAAAGTTACTTTTTTAGGTTACAACGCCCCAAAATCCTCCAGGTAACATGGCCAGTGGCTGTGGGTTTTCAAGTTCTGAGCCTCTAACCATAAGTGTGAATATGATTTAAGATTGTGTTAGTTGTGGGTTCAATTGAAGAGTGAGTGGCACTCCAGATATTTCTGAACTGCAACTCCCAGCATTCCTTTCCATTGCCATTATTTTTTATAATTATTTTTATTCCAATGTTATAAAGAGATAGATTGTTTTACATGGAAAGTGGGAGAACAAAAGCATTAAGAAAAAGTAGAAAAAGTATAGAAAAAGTGTAATAAAACAAAAAATATAAAAATTATACACACACACAAACACACACATTATTAGACTTCCATTCTTCCTCCCTTTACCTCTTAGTCCATTGTATTTCAAATCTAAGTTAGAAACGAAGTTTTCCCTTGATATTGACTTCCATTACACCTCATTCTTCTTTGTTTAGATAGTCCTCAAAAATTGTCCGGTCCGTCTTTTTCACACCTTTTCCATTGTTCTGCTTTAACAAAAAAAAATATTTTATCCATATCCTTTATTTCCATTATTTTATGAATCCATTGTATCTTTGGAGGAATTAATTCAAGTTTCCAAAATTTATATTAAAAAAATTCTAGCTGCAGTTGTGAAAAAAGTAAAAGGTTTGTCCAAATTAGGGTCTTTAAATATTTCTGAATCAAACATCCCTAATGGATAAAATTCTGATATCATGGGAAGGTCAATTCTCAATATTTTTTTACACTCTTGATGCACCATTTTCCAATAATCTAATGTTCTTTCGCGGGACCACCACATGTGATAATGTAAACCCTCATGTAGTTTACACTTCCAACATTTATTGTCCACACTATTAATGTCATTCCTAATTTTTTTTTGGTGTAATATACCAATGGTGTAGCATTTTTTAGCCAATTTTCCTTCAAATCTGAAGCATATGTGTATTTAACACATTTTGTCCAAATTAATTCCCATTCTCTTAATTTAATTGGTCTTCCAATATTTCTTGCCCAAATTACCATAGAACTTTTGATCTCCTCTTTTTCTGTTGCCCATCCAAGTAGCTGGTTATAAATCTTTGTTATTGCTCTCTTTTCCATTATTAGTATTTTGTCCCAAAATTCATCCTTATCCACAAAATGATTTTTTTGTCCAAATTAAAAGATTATTTTATTTGAAAATATTGAAACTACAACACATTTTATATTGATATCTCTTCTTGTGTTTTTAGTTCAAACCCATCATTCCTCTTAATTAAAATATCTTTGTAAGTCAGCCATAGTAATTCCTTTCCTTTCCCATTATAACTGGGTGTTGTGGTTCATCTTCATATGGAGTGCTTAAAATTCAGAGCAAGGAATGGATAGATTTTTGTAATATTTATCGTGTCATCTATCGTGTCATCCGCAACCAGAACATTGTATTACATTTCTAACAGAACAAAACAAACAAACAGATAAAAAACCCCACAAATTTTGAAAACTTGGTAGCTGATTAAATGTCCTTTGACCAGTATCTGGCCACTTGGAGTGCCTCTGGTGTTGCACAAGAAGGTCCTCCATTGTGCATGTGGCAGGGCTCAGGGTGCATTGCAGCAGGTGGTCAGTGGTTTGCTCTTCTCCATGCTCACATGTCGTGGATTCAACTTTGTAGCCCCATTTCTTGAGGTTGGCTCTGCATCTCATGGTGCCAGAGCGCAGTCTGTTCAGCGCCTTCCAAGTCACCCAGTCTTCTGTGTGCCCAGGGGGGAGTCTCTCATCTGGTATCACCCACGGATTGAGGTGCTGGGTTTGAGCCTGCCACTTTTGAACTCTCGCTTGCTGAGGTGTTCCAGCGAGTGTCTCTGTAGATCTAAGAAAACTATCAATAAATTTTTGTAATGAAACTAGGGACATAATCATATTCAACAATTACAACACCATGATTCCACTTTAACTACTGTATGCACACCCTATGAAACCTTGGGATTTGTAGTTTAGTGAATACTCTCCCTAACTTCAAATCCAGGATTCATGAGGATGGGACCAGGTCAGTTAAAGTGGAATCATAGTACTATCATTGTACAGTGTGAAAGAATCCTTTTATTTAATTTCCTACTTATCCAGGTAAGCTATGTGGTCATTCTTAAACCTATTGCAGTCTAATGTGATTCATAAAACTGATCTTAGGATAAAATTGGGACAACTTTCTATGGCACTATCTTGTGGTTCCAGAAAGAATAATGTGATGGTTAAAGAGACCAAAATGTTGAAATATGTTATCTACTCCTTGTAACTCAAAGTTAAGTTCCAGTGAAAACCTGCTTAATCTCATGTGAAAGCTGGAGAGACTGGGAACGGCTGATCTATAATCTTGGCCATGTGTTTGAAGTTTCCCAATGTTATTTGAAGAAAGAGGAAACACTTTACTATTTACGTTTCTCCGATTCCTGCCTGCTCTTTGCTGAAAACCTCAACTATCTATAATTAGGGTTTTTGGTGTTGCGTGCTATGTTGTCAGCATGGTAATTAGTGCATGTATTGCAAATCCTGACATCCTTCTGCAAAGGGGTGAATGCTTCACAGTTACATATAGTTCATCACTTCCTGGGAGCTCACATTTGGATTGAAGGCTTTTAAATGATAAAACATCTCTTTGAGATGGATGGCTGTAGCTTGATCATTTCCACCCACTGGCATGAAAAAGCCCCCATGTTGAAATGGGTCTGTCTCATGTCAACTGGCTATTTTTACAAACTTTATAGCTTCCTGACTGCAATGCTGTTTCAGTGGTTTGGTTTTTCTAATTATAGTTGCACCATTTGGTCAATCTGCCATTTATAAACTGTGCCGCACACTCCACTCCTCAGCTCTTATTTGGCTGTGGGCAAAAAGGGCTGGGCAAAATAAATCTCTTTCAGATGCTCAGATGTGGCAGTATATCTTAGGCTATCCCTTTTTGCATGTGTTGTTGAGTGTGTACCACCACAATGTCCTTGAATGAAGTTGTGTACTGAGTAATTTCCAATTTATAACAATCCTTCAGTGAAGCAATTAGTTGGGTTTCCTAGCAAGATTTGTTCAGAAGGGGTTTGCTTTTGCCTTCCTTGAAGGCAGAAATAGTGTTGTTTGGTTAAGGATTCATACCCTGTTCTCCATAGTCATAGAGTGCACCTACACTGTAGAATTAATGCAGTTTGAACCACTTTAAATGCAATGGCTCAGTGCTAGGAAATCATGCTATGAGAGTTGTAGTTTGGTGAGGCACCAGCAGTATTTGGCAGAGAAGGCTGAAGATCCTAGCGTTGAGCCATGGCTTTTAAAGTGGTGTCAACATGTACTAATACTACAATTGTTGTTAGTTGTTGATTGATTTGTTCAGTCTCTTTCAACTTTTTGTGACCTCATGGACCAGCCCATGCCAGAGCTCCCTGTCAGCCATGGACATCCCCAGCTCCTTCAAGGTCAAGCCAGTCACTTCAAGGATACCATCCATCCATCTTGCCCTTGGTCAGCCCCTCTTCCTTTTTCCTTCCATTTCCCCCAGCATCATTATCTTCTCCAAGCGTAGATACACCCTAAGTTGACAAAAGAAGAAATGTAGCTTGATGTACTACAGGGTACTTCAGAATGATGGACCTGATACAAAATCAGATCCATTGTTTTGAAACACCCTGTAGGTGCCTCAAGCTCTACAGCTTGGTAAGAATTTCATTTATGGGCAACCATGAACCACCCATGAATGAAACCTTTACCACTTGAAAGGGTGGGACATTGAGTGTCAAATGATGACCACAAGACACCTCTCACAGTGCACAGACCCAATCATTCACAAGATGGCAATCCCACAACATAAGAGTTAGTTAATGAGCTATTCTCCATTTGTGGAGTTATTTTTGTTTAGATTTGTTCCTGGTTAGCAAAATTTGGAAACTCATTACATCATTTGTAACTTTTTGTGTAGTTGTAACATGTTGCTATCATACTGCTTTGAAACTGAGGCCATCATTTTGAAACACTTTAATTTTTAAAAAATGTGCCGATTTTTCACCATGCAGGAAGTATTTCATTCCAAAATCATCCTCCCACTTGTAGTTTGGTGCAATCCTTTACATAGTACAAAGACGGCACTGTGTTGTCCAGTGGCTGAACAGAGGTTTGAAGCTTGGCTCTCCATGGATAATGAGAGCTACACCCTAACCATTACCCCACATTACTTGGCTGCAAGGCCTTCCACTTGAGCTGTTTAGCAAATCAGCAACACCCACAAACTCTGGCTTCCTTGCTGTGTTCCTTGTTTTACTTTAACTGAATCTGGCTGGACAACAGTTACATTTTCTGCATTTGATTTTTCCCCTGGTTTCTTTTTTTTTCAGAACACTCGACGTTTATGTCAGTCTCAATGATGGGCAGTCCCCTATCACCGGCTCCTTAACCATTACTGCAACAGAATGTGTAAGTACATGTTTGACAAGAGCCAAGGGATCTATGTTGCTTTTTTAAATGTACAGTCTAGAGATGGGAATGGCATGGAATAGTTTTTTAATTAATTCTGACCCCTGGGCTATACATTTATTATTCTCGAACCCTTGCAACCTCATAGTCTTCCAGTTTGTTTGGGGTTTTTTAGTCAGTTTTGGCCTGCCTCGCCAGCTACCACCAGCATGTTAGCAAAGCATAGACTATGATTTTGATCTTCAGATTAAAATCATAAAATGCTGGTTAAAGAAGTCACTCTAGGACAGGCATGAGCAAACTTGTGCCCTCCGGGTGTTTTGGACTTCAACTCCCACAATTCCTAACAGCCGGTTTAATGGCACTTCACTCCATGTGTCTGAGGAAGTGGGCTTAGGGTGGATTTACAATCTAGAATTCTTGACACCACTTTGCCTGGCATAGCTCAATACTTATGGAATCATGTGGGTTGTAGTTTCATAGGGCATTCAGTCCTCTCTGCCAAAGAGTTCTGGTTCCTGACCAAACTATAAATCCCAGGATTCCATAGCGTTGAATCATGGCAGTTAAAGTGGTCTCAAACAGCATGGATTTTTCAGGCTTCAGAAGCTTATACTGCCAATTTTGTTCTCTTAATTAGATTCTAAGGTGCCACAAAATATTGTTACATACAGATCTCCTTCTCTGGATGTTTTTGAAGAAAGGTTAGATGGTCATCTTTTGGGAGGGATTGGACTTGATGGCCCTTGTGGTCTCTTCCAACTCTATGATTCTAGGTGCACATTGTTAGGTTTTGAATAACATTTTTGCTGAAACATGCTGAACTGCTCTTCTTCTTATGGTGTAAGAATATGCTCCTATTTTCTTGCATGTTATCTCTGCCTCTGGTATGAGAACTATTGTCCAGAGACTCCTCTGTATAGAGCAATTGCTAACATGATTTCTGTGAATGAGAAAGTAGTTGTGATCTTTCCCTCTTCCTTTCCCCTAGGCAAGTGGCATTATTGTCTTGATAGTAATCCTTGTATTGTTACTCTTGCTGGCACTCGGTCTCATGTGGTGGTTCTGGCCCTTGTGTTGCAAAGTGGTGAGTGACATGGACAGCTTTTTAATGTTAACATTTCTACATGGTGATTTTTTTATCATGTTAGCAAATTGAGAATACAGTTACAATGCATACAGAAACCACAGACAAAGTTAAAAGCTTGGGATTGTACTAAATTTCATTTGACTAGGATGGCCACTTTGAGTGCCTCTGGTGTGTAATGTGAGTCAAAAGGTTGTTAAAATTTGCCACTCTGGGAATTGTGACTTCAATTTCCCGAAACCCTAGCAAGCTTGGGTAATGGTACTGTATTCTGAGAGCTGAAGACCAAAACTCCTGGACTTCCAAAAGGTTGAGAACTATGATCTAGATAAAAGATTCTCAATCTTCGCTTTCCAGATGGGGTTGAACTTCAAATCCCAAATACTCCAAGTGGTCAGGGATTTGGGGGAGTTGCAGTCCAACATGGGTGTGTGAATCTAGGAATGGATCTGTAATCTCAATGAATGTCAATGGTATTGTAGACATTTTTGTTGATGGGCATTACTTCTGCCCCAACATATTGGGCAGAATGTGCCAAGTTCCCTTGTAGCAAGAGATATATTGTATTTTGAACCTCTGGAAAACATTTGGAGAGTCTCCTCTATATATCTCACCCATTGAGGTATCTTGATTTGTGTTCATCTGCATTACATGGCATTTCACTTGACTAAGACACAGAAGTAGACTTTGTTTTCTGTGCCTGCCTCCTTTCATTGTAATATAATTGTAATATAATATGTAGCTGCCTGATTCCAGAAGCCTACATACTCAAGCACAAGCCTGAGGGCTATTTTAATCTGGACACTAGTCCTAGATTGTAGGGATGATGGGAACTGTAGACTGGGATGACAGCATTGTGTTGGGGAAGTCTGCACTAGAGCTGTCTTGATATGCAGATATATGCAAATCAATATGTCACATTGTAAATGAAAGCTGGTTGAAACAGATTAGATGTGCCTCAGTTTACTTTCACCAACTTCTTTTGGTGTTGGACTTAATTATGTCATTTTTGTATATGTGTGTGCAAATTAGCATTTGCAGCTCAGCATGCAACACATAAAGAAAAAAACTTGCTAGAAAGGAATGATATAATAACGCAAAGTCTTGGATGCAAAGATAAATTTCAAACAATATCAAATCAGTAAAACTGGGATTTAAAAAGGAAATAAAAGAGGGGAATGTTTGAATAACTCCATTTTTATGACATTAAATATCTCCATCTTGCCTTTGTTGTTGTACAGCAGCATTTCTCAACCTGGGGATAAGGACTCCCGGAAGGGGTCACAAGGGGGTTTCAGAGGGGTCGCTAAAGACCATCAGAAAACAGATATTTGTGATGCTCTTAGGAATCTCTTTTGGCAGAGAAGGCTGAAGATCTTTCTGCCTCTCCTTCAGAATGCTCTTTTATTGTAGGTGAACTATAAATTCCAGCAACTACAACTCCCAAATGTCAAGGTCTATTTTCCCCAAATTCCACCATTGTTCACATTGGGGCATATTGAGTATTCATGCCAAGTTTGGTCCAGATCTATCTTTGTTTGAGTCCGCAGTGCTCTCTGGATGTAAGTGAACTACAACTCCAAAACCTCAGGTCCATGCCCACCAAACCCTTCCAGTATTTTCTATTCATCATGGGAGTTCTATGTGCCAAGTTTGGATCAATTCCATCATTGGTGGAGCTCAGAATGCTCTTTGATTGTACGTTAACTATACATCCAAGCAACTACAACCCCCAAATGACAAAATCAATCCTTCCCAACCCCACAAGTATTCAAATTTGAGCGTATCAGGTATTTGTGTCAAATTTGGTCCAGTGAGTGAAAATACATCCTGCATATCAAATATTTACAACAGTAGCAAAATTAGTTATGAAGAAATAACAAAATAATTTTATGGTTGGGGGTAATCACAACATGAGGAACTGTTTTAAGGGGTCACGGCAATAGGAATGTTGAGAAACACCGCTGTACAGAAATACCAAGAAAGGCAACAAGAAGATAATGCAGAATACTACAACATTTGTGTGTTCTACTTTTCTCATCAGGACATAACCAGTATAGTCTGTAGTAAGACTCCTGTTTCTGAAGGGGATATCTTTCTGACTAGATTGCAATTACCAGAAACCATGGATATGACCAAATGCCATTAAATTACCTTATTTCTGGTCACAACAAACCATAGAGTTGTTTTGGAGAACCTGGAGCTTCCAAGAGAAGTCCCTCAACACAACTCTATGGTAACTTCTGAATGAAGCATGCTATAGGTTTACCAGGAGGACCCAGCAAATTCCTAGAGAAACTGGGCACGGGGAAGTGCCATGACAGATATTAATTTCATGCATGCAGAGTCTTGCTGTAATTCATGTTCATTCAGTAGGAAAGCTATTGCCTATTAGGCACATCTCCTCTTCCCAGATCTAATATTTGTATTATGGCCTCAATTCAATTGCTAATCCTAACTAAACCCTTACATAAATGTTGTTTTACCATTCTTCAGTCGATTCAGTGGGTCTACTCTAGTTGCGACAAGCAGGATATATTTTTCACCCAAAGTATTACAGAGATTATTTGTGTGAACACTCAGGAAATGTTATATGAAAGCCTTCATGGTTTTAGTTCATTCTCACTGAAGTGTGAAACAAACAAGCTTGCATTCCATTTGATTTGGTGAGGACGCCTCTTGTTATCCTATATTTACAAAGCAGAAGCAAATAAAATATACTGTAGAAGAGGTTGGGAAAGTTACTTTTGAACTAAATCCTTTAGCCACTCTTATGGGACTTGTAGTCCAAAAGGGAACTTTTCCAAGATTTGTGTGGAACAACAATAACAACATTAAAGTTAAAGGGGTAATATTGCCCCTCACCATTCAGCCGTCCTTTCTGGCAGCAACCAGTTGGCATCTAGTATGTCAAATGAATTGGGCATGCTGTTTAATTGTTGGCAGGAGCCAGTTGGTGGATTTTTTTTACTTGATCTGCAGTCCATACACACCACCAGGTTGTTGTTTTTTCATTTCTCTACTCTCTCTCTCTCTCTTTTTAAAAAGAGTTCGCTGTTGACAGTTCTTTCGCTCTTCCCCAAACGTTCGAACATGTGACGGCATCAAGCTGGCTGTAGGCTCTGGTGCTGACATTTCTTAATGCCCACCTCGTTCAAACATTTGATAAGTGTTAATGAGCAGATCAAAGGGACTGTTGCCTGAAGCAACTTGTTTTTGTGGGGTTTTTTTGGAAATTAAATTCAAGATACATATATATACATTTGAAAAATGAAGGAGGAAAAAAATCGGCTGTCTTCCAAAATCAAAGCTTCAGGTTGCTTCTTTTTTTAAAAAAATAATTTTTTTGACAAGCAGCCCATTGCTGAAATGAGGATAATGAAGCCAGACTAAATAAAATTGGAGAAAACTCAAAGTCTGCATATGGTAAACAAAATGGAGATTTAGTCTCCTGAGCTCTTGGGACAGTATTTAAGAAATCTGAATTAAACAGAAATGCTGGCTGCCTTGCAATATTATGTCTTTTAACATCTGCAAGTTTTCAGGCTGCTGAAGTTGCAGATACTCTTTTTCTCTCTCTTCCTCCACCACTCCTGAAATAAAGGGGTTTATTCTTATGTTTCTATTCATCTTCAAATAATAATAATAATAATAATAATAATAATAATAATAATTTAATTTTTGTATCCCGCCTCCATCTCCTCGAAGGGACTTGGGGCGGCCTACATATGGCACAATGTGCCTGGAACAATGCAAAAAAAAAAAACAAAACAAAACATACAATACAATAAAAGATAAAGCCACAATCATATAAAACAATTATTTAAACTTAAAACAGCAAACAATAATCTATGTTGAGAACTGTCATAAAACATGGCCAATCCACAATAACACTGTAATTCATTGATTCTAAAATGCACTTTCTCCATATAAACATCTCAAAAACAGGGTCTTAGAATCACAGGCTACACACACACACACACATGTACACACACATGTACATTCCACGTTGACATACATAAATTAATACATACATAAATGGCTTTTTTCCACGTTGACATACATAAATACATCCATACATACATACATATATGGCTTTTTTCAGCAGCCTAAAAACCTTTCTATATGGTACTGAAATTAGTGTGCATTTTAGAATCAATGAAATACAGTATTATTATTGGAAGATTTGTATTCCTAATATGTTGCATGGGTGTGAGATACACCCACTATTGCCACTTGTCATAAATACAGATTCTAGTCCCCACCAGAGTATATCAACTCATACGTTGTTGAATGGGAAGAAAAACAATAATGACCACAGTTTTGATTTACATAGTTTTGTATTGAGTTAGAAAATATCAAAATAGTGAAAATCATTAATCAAAATAAAGAAGGCAGTCATGAAATCAGAAGAAGACAAAGAACTGGAAAGGCAGCTATGAAGAAACTGGATAAGATAGTCATGTATAAGGATACACCACTGAATACAAAGTCAGGATTATTTATACCATTTCTGATATCTAGGTATAGTTGTGAAAGCTGACAAATGAGGAAGGTCATAGGAAAAGAGTTCTTTAGATACCTGGACTACCAAAAGGCAAATAAATGTGTCTAGAGCATGTCTATGATTCTATGAAATGTGTCCTAGAGCAAATAAAGTTGGAGCTTTTTCTAGATGTCAGGAGCACTACACTGAGGCTATTGTACTTTAGACACATCATGAGAAAACATACCTTATGGTAGTTGACCATTTTCTTACTAAATCGCCATATAAAATCCAGATTATCTGCTTTGAACTGGATTATATGACAGTATAGAAGGGGCCTAAGTTGTTTTTATTTGTTAAGACACACTTTCTTGTCAAGGATGACAGAATTTATGAGAATCCTTTATATCCTCATGCAATTGGTTGATTCTTTCATGAAGCTTGTAGGAGGAAATCTGTACTATATGTTCTGTTTTGTGACTCTGAAAAATGTTGGTTGTCAATTCCTTACCCCTGATCTGTCTTTCCTCAATAGGTCATTAAAGATCCTCCTCCTCCACCACCACCATCAGCTCCAGTAGAGGTTTGTTCATCTTGTGAAACTATAGAAGATGTTACATAGGGCCCATTCACACTTCAGAATTGTAGTGCTATCATTCCACTTTAACTTCCATGGCGCTGTCCTATGAAATTGGCAATTTAAGGAGGGGCATTTAGATCTCTCTGCCAGAGAGCTCTAATGCTTCACCACACTGCTAGTAACAGTATCTTGTAGGATGGAACCATAATTATCAAAGTAGATTAATAAATCTATAATTATCTGGACAAATCTCTTCATATTATAGCCAGTGACTCAGAGATGCATATAGGTTAGGGGCAGAGTTATCTACTCCAGTGCCTTGATGTTATCAATGCCATACTATTTTCCTGCTATGTCCAGTTATGAAGATTGGGAGAAAGGCTGAAAGGGATGGCAATGTCCAATTATTTGTTTTTACTGGATTAACATATACTTCAATTAAGGGATGCCATTGTGCATGTCAGTTCCACATTGAGAGTGATGTACATTTCCGATGGGAATCTACTGTATTGTAGTATGCATCAACAAACCACTCTCAGATATGGACTGCTATCATCCCTGCTTCTATCATCCCCAGCCAATTTCATCACTGACTTGAATAATGAGAGTAGTAGTAGTTACATACATCTGGAACAGGCACAGCTGGGGGAATCTTCTTTACTGTATTGGGTTATTTTGAAGGTTATCTGGGACTTTGGTATATACAGAATACGGTAGTTTTCCTTTGCCCAAGGAAGATTATTATGGATTAGTTCAATTCTCATTTGCCAATGGAGATGATAGAAGTGGCTGACTTCTAGAGGTCTGATATTATTTGGGATCTCTCAGAAATTTCTATAATCATATTCCTTGGGTATACAAACACATGGCAATAAATGCAGCTGGGAGTGGGTACAACATTGCTGTATATATGGCATCCTCTATTAGACAGTTTGGTTTTTCAGAACTGTGTAAGTGAAGTGGCTGTGTTGATCAGACAGGAATTGGATTGTAATAGACACTTCAAAACACATTCCTCAGCAAATTGATTTTCCGTGCACATAACTAAAAATCTGGCTTTATGTGTTTGGTGGATGAAGGTGGCAGTAGGAAGGGATGGAAAATTACTTTCTAATTCAAAGAATATCTTATTCACTCCCTCCCCACTATCACTCCAGAAGCAGAGATTTACACGTGGAACCATCTGATCATATCAAATATATTTCATATCTATTTTCTTTAAGTGATTTTAATAATAATAATAATAATAATAATAATAATAATAATAATAATAGTTTATTGTGAAATGGCACGGGTTACTCATGCACAGACCATGTTCTTTTTGGTGCCCTGAAACTGAAAGGACTATGATAGCCTTCTTCAAACTGACATCTTCCAGATGTGTTGGTCTGTAGCACTCATTGGATGCATGTAGTCTACCACTATCTGTGTAGGGTTGCATCCTTATTCCCTTTTGGGAGCTATCAAGCCCTAGGAGGACTTGCTTGGCTGCTTACTGGTGGGAAGGTGAAAAAGCAGTTCTGATCATAAACTGAACTTAGCTCATTGAGAAAGGAGGAGAAACAAGTATGTTCCCTGATACAGCATACAGTAATCCCTCCACATGTGTTCTTTTGGCTTTTGTGAATTTGATTAAAATAATCTCTGTAGGACAAGCATGGGCAAACTTTGGCTCTCCAGGTGTTTTGGACTTCCACAATTGAAGATTTGAAGTCCAAAATGCCTTATAGACCAAAGTTTTCCCATGCCTGCTCTAGGATTATCTAGGTTCTCCAGTGTGACTCCATGGGCAACTTTCCCTAGTCCTGATGGAAGACCTAGGAATTCATGAAAGAACACCTCTAGGACTCTCAAAATCTTGCGATTTTTTTTTGTTCAACTTCCAGTGGAAGTTAATTATAGTCATGCTGGAAGATTTAGAAATTCCTATAGAAAAGTTTTTCCCAAGAAAAGAGCAGTTTTGAAACTTTCATGGTGGCCCTGTTCCCCTAACACTAGCAGATGTGGAGCGCTGACTACAATCTCCTTTGCCATGATACTGAAAATAATGCTCAATTTCCATAATTTGACAGCATGTGTAAAAACAATGTCCTGTGTTTTATTCCATAACCTCCCCTTTAAAGAACAAAAGTTAGTTCCAAGTAATTTTGCTCTTGATATCTAATGTGTGAATTGTTTTATTCTCTTTATAAAAAATTCACCACCACCCATACACAAACTGGAACCTGTGTTGGATTCTTGCCCAGGAAGAAGAAGAAGACCCTTTGCCTAATAAGAAGTGGCCAACAGTGGATGCTTCTTATTATGGTGGACGAGGAGTTGGAGGAATTAAGAGGATGGAGGTTGGTATTGTCGAGTGAGTCTCCTACAACTGAGTGTTTCAGTTTGAAGTTTAATACCAGAGCTTACAAAATTGCTTTTTCCAATATTCCAATTCAAAAACTGTCACAAGCTCTTTCTAAACTATGAGACTAATGCATTGGCTTCATATTTACATATTGCACTATATCAGTGCAATATTGCTTATTAAGAGGATAAGCCACCATAACTGGAATGTTTCTCCACTCATGCAATATATAGGAAGATGCTTTTGGGTTTAATCATAATACTGAATTCTGAAAATAATTTTGAACTGTATTTCTGCACACAATTATGTGTAACCTCATTTTTGGCACCACAAAAGTATTGAGATGGAAGTGCAGATGTTATGGCCTGACTAGCATTATGACTGTCATGTCTTTGTGAAGGATTGTAAAGCCAGCCACTGTTATTTTTCTTACAGAGAGAGGCAGGAAACCTCATCTTCACAAAGGGTTTTTGGACTTCAGCTCTCCTAACACTTTATTGGTTATGCTGCCCAAGTCTTTTAGAGCTAGATCCAAAATGCCTGGGTCCATCCCACTGATAACATAAATATGTTTATTATATATATTATGATTTTATTAGTAGTATGGTAGGACAAAAAATATTATTTGCTTAATTGTTGGTGCTTGCCACCACAAATGGAGTATTGCTTTTATGTCCTACCTGCTGATTTAATAGGCGTATTAAACTGGCCATGGCTGGAAACAGATTCATGGACTTTGCTGAGTTCCACCATCTGTTTTCTTGGGATGCAAAGTTTTATATGTGGACAGTAGTAATTGAGGTCCATGTTCACTTTCTGTAAGTGACTGTAAGTGACCTTCGGTTATAATTTCTGGGGATTTAAGTGTTTTTTTTATGATGTTTTAAACTGTTCTGTGATTATGTTTTAAGAATACCTATGTTTTGAGCTAATCTTTTGCTCCTGGAAACAGACAGGCATTTTGAGTGATCCTCTTCAGAGTTTCCACATTTTTGAGTGTGTGCAGGACTTTGAGAAATCTGGTCAAAACCAGGGGTTGTTGCTCTTGTGCGCTTTCACATCATTTTCAATTTACAGTGACCCCAAGGAATTGAATCTTGGTCCCCAGGGTCTCAGTCCAATGCACATACCCTTTCACCCCTCTTGCTCTCAAAACCAAGATTGCATGTGCAAATTGGGATTGGGACCACATGTGGCTTATGGCTGCCATTCCCTTGCCCTTTGATATACACTCTTGGTTCAAAATGTATTATACATTTGCTTTAACATCACTGAGGTCAGTTCTCATCCAATTTGATAAAAACTTGAGCAACGGCTTCGACGCTAATATGGCTTTTCTTTCAATGAATTTCAATATCAATTCCTAAAATTACTAGAATGACCTACTTCCCTATGATTTCAGACTTCTCTGATTTTTTTCTTTCTATCTATAGAACAGTTGCAGACACTTCCCTATAGAATAGAGACAAACTGATTTAATCAGTTCCATTTCATCTGAACTCTGAGGGGAAAAGAGAAGTTTGGTTCAACAACTGAAAGAGAGAGGAGGACAAGGCTTTTAATTACATTTTTTTAAATGTCCTGTTGGGAAAAATTACAGTGTAACATGAATATTCTCATTGTGACTTAGCCAAATATTCTTACAAGGCTGACATTTATAGTAAGTGTTTTGCTTCTTTTGCAGCTGGTGTAGTGTTGGGGTTAAAAGCATGTCCTGGATAAGAGTTCCTTGTTGAAATATAATGGTCATAAGCCACGGTCTCTCAGTTTCTGCCTCCTCCTATTTGTATGTGCAAATGGGGAGGGGTGACCCATGACCACAGATGACCCTGTTATGCACTCGTTACTATAAGATGTGGCCACAAAATGGCCAATCTCACGTCTCATGGAGGCATTTTACTCCATTTATTCCCATGGATACTACTTGCTTATAGAATTCATGTGGTTGCCATAGCCGGCAGTTCGAAAGCACGCAAACACATATACATTCTACTTGAGGTCTGCAGAAAACTGTTTCTCAAGTTTCTCAAGTTCACAAATATCTTGTTCCTTCTTGTGTAAGGATATGGTCCTGGATTAAAGTATATATCCATAAATAAAAAGGCAAAGGGAAAAAAATGGACAAATGGAGTAATCTTACCTTCTAAAGATGGCAACCGGCCATTTCAGATAAAACAAAATTCACAGAAGAATCTTTGTGGTGGAAGTCACTGAAATCTGATATAGCTAGAACTGTGGAATTTCTTTTTGTAAGGGTGGCACAATCTCAAATTAAACCTGTTGAACGTGAGACTTATATTTGCAGAGTCTCCACCACCAGGTCTCATTGGATTTACTAGTTCCTGTACATTGAGGGATAGCATGGCAACTCATGCATTTACTACTTTGGCATGAACTTGTCATTGAATTTGTCAGTGAAACAATCTATATGGAGACTCTAGGTTTGCCACCACTTTTTAACAAAAGAAGCTCTTAGTAACATTGGGTTGTCAGGAGCGACTTGAGAAACTGAAAATCGCTTCTAGTGTGAGAGAATTGGCTGTCTTCAGAGATGTTGCCCAGGGGATGTCCAGATGTGTTACCATCCTGTGGGAGGCTTCTCTCATGTTCCCACATGGGAAGCCAAAGCTGACAGATGGGAGCTCACCCCATCTGGCGGGTTCAAACCACCAACCTTCAGGTCAACAGTTTAGTTGGCACAAGGGTTTGACCCATTGCACCACTGCAGCTCGTCAGAAATCATCCCAGAAATCCTAATCATTGATGATATTTTCCAAGATTTAATGATCTGTCTAGGTTAACCCATTCCGGCACCTCCAATTTTCAAACACAGCATTTTAGGAAAGGGTTTTCTACTGTTTCATAGCAGTTTGGTTGAAGGTAAAGTGATAACAACATTCCTCAAGGTGAGCCTATCACAATGCTTACAAACCGCAGCTAGAGCCAACCGTTCTATTTAACTGAATAGATAAAGCCGAAGCTCTATATGCATCTACCTGGGAATATGTCTGATTGGAATGGACATCTGAATAGACATGCATCGGCTGGTGCAGTAATTTTATAATGTTGTAAAGAATTGTACTTGACCCAGACAAATCAGCTGATTTATAGTATTAACACGATGTGACACTTTTCAAATAAATAGCCCTGTTAGTCACTTTCAGCATAAAAAAGAAAGGCAAGTGGGGAGGGATCTAGCAGTACTGCAGAGAGTAACTTTGTGACGACAGTGAACAAGTGTTTGTAAATGTAGATTCATCACATTAGGTGCACTTTAAGAAGTTTATACTTAAACATAGCAGTTGGTCTCAGAGTGACCCTAGATCCTTCCTTTACCTTTATGTATGTATGTATGTATGTATGTATGTATGTATGTATTTATTTATTTATTTATTTATTTGGTGTGACGTGAATTGAGCACCTGGTATCCAAAGATACAAACCCTCTTTGATCTCAAATCTTGCTTACTTTAGGTTCGTTGGGGTGATAAAGGTTCGACTGAAGAAGGGGCTCGGCTAGAGAAAGCCAAAAATGCTGTGGTAACAGTGCCTGAAGAGACAGAAGAGCCATTTCAACCTAGACCACCAAAACCAAAGCCTACCTCACCTCCTCCTCCTCAGGAGAAGTGGTATACACCAATTAAGGTACTTCATCTAGTCTTTTGTCATTGAATCACTGCTTGATGCTGGTTTCCATGTCAGTGGCATAGTGAATCTGCTCCAGGTTTTATACCAGTGGTTCTTAACTTGTGGGCCCCCAGATATTTTGGCCTTCAACTCCCAGAAATCCTAACAGTTGGTAAACTGGTTGAGATTTCTGGGAGTTGTAGGCCGAAACACCTGGTGACCCACAGGTTGAGAACCATTGTTTTAGACTTAACTCTAATGGAATTATCCAATAGGCTGGATCTTAAATCCATGACATTTGGGGTGATAATTGGAAAATGTATTCCATGACTCACTGGCATTAAAGCCACAAGCCACCACTGTGTTAAACACTATGTTGACTTTCTGGGTTTTATGAGGCAAATCGAAGTTGATCTTAAAATGGCTGAAGAACCAGTCACATCTATATGCATTGAAAGCTACCAGGAGAAATAGCATGGAATGGAGGCAAGATGACTGAAATCCCTATCAATTCTGAATATAGCACTTGAGAAATGGAAATCTTTTGTTTGTTTAATTGTGTTCAGTGAACTCACCTCTTTGATAACAACTCTGTGAGGCTAGCTGATGGGACTTCTTCTTGAACATAGTCCTCAACCACCTATACACAAAAATAGTATTCTTCATTCTCACAAGCAAAAATAAATAATTCCTGGAGTATTCCTCTTACTGGATGAGAAGATGAAGATTTCTATACGCTTTCCAATTGATGTTTGTACTTGAAAAATACTTGTCATGGAATCATAGTTGGAAGAGACCACAAAGACCATCCAGTTCAATCTTCCACTGTGCAGAAATACACAGGGATTTTTTTTAATTGCAGAAATACATTTTGTATACAGAAAAACTTTCTTTCAGTGCAGAACTTGGCATGGTTTTTCTCTGCACAAACTTCTGTATACAAATACAACACATGAGCTTTTTCTGTGCAGAAAACCTATTTTCTTCCCTTTCTGTAGAGAAACCAAGAGTTTCTTTCATGCTGAAAACATATGTGTTCTAAGCAGAAAACATGACTTTGCTTTTCCTATTCAGAAAACAATGCTATAAAAAACACATATTTATTTATTTACTACTCCGCCTTTCTCAACTTGGGAGGGGGCTCAAGGCGGCTTACAAATCCAGCAAAAATTCAATGCTGCACATGTAAACAATAAAGTAAATTTCATAAAATATAAACAATATAAGCATGTAAGTAATTAAAACACATAACAACCTATCAAACAGATTAAAATCATATATAAAATGCTGAGTCATGATCTCATTTCCAAATTGTTTTCCAAAAACCATAATCAATTATTCTTGCTGTTGAAGTCTCATTCTGTAGTTTCCTTTTCACCAAACACCTATGTATGTCTGCACAGAGGTTTCCTTAGCACCATTCCTATTGTGGATGACAAATGAATATTCTTGCCATTCCTTGACAAAAGCCTGAAGACCCTTGAACCTAACTCCTATTGTTAGTCCCAGCTCATAAGGCTTCTTGAATCAGTAGGACATACCTAGTGAAAAATTGATTCAAAAGGCCTGCTATAGTTGGAACTAATTGGTAGGATTGAGGCCATATTTAATCTTTTGCAGTTTGTGTTTCTGTGTGTCTTTGCAAAAACCCCTTGTCAACTTAAAATAGTAAAAGACCAGAACTTGGAATTTCCCACTCATTTAACACATTGTTAAGAACCATTTATTTAATCACACATCACTGGCTCAATGTGTTCCCATTAAGCAAAATTTATGCCTAATAGCATCCCGTTTAAGGAGCGCTCATTGTCCTACAGTGTCATTTGGCTGAAGATAATCCCCAAGATATGGCCAAGGACGGTTAATGGTGTTGAGAACTGCTGCCGTATATGCCAGCTAATCAAAAGTCTTTTGGGTCTCCTTTGAATAGGGTCGACTCGATGCACTGTGGGCTTTGCTGAGGCGGCAGTATGACCGAGTGTCTTTGATGCGACCGCAGCAAGGAGATGAGGTTTGTGGAGAGGGGTATTTGATAAGTTTAAGAATGAATTCTCATGATCCATAGGTCTGCATACGGTAGAATGTTCATTTGGTGCACACATGAACAGTAAACTTTCATGGGATGTTTTAAGGTATTGACTACAATGTGAAGATTCTTTCAGTGGTTCAAGTGATCACCATGAAGGCAGTGGAAGATCCTATGAGATGCCGGTGGGATACATACTATATATAGTCATGTGTAAGTCAACCTTATGTCAAGGGTTGGATGCCTCATTGAATCATAGAATCAAAGAGTTGAAAGAGACCTCATGGGCCATCCAGTCCAACCCCCTGCCAAGAAGCAGGAAAATTACATTCAAAGCACCCCTAACAGATGGCCATCCAGTTTATGTTTAAAAGCCTCCAAAGAAGGAGCCTCCACCACACTCCAGGGCAGAGAGTTCCACTGCTGAACAGCTCTCACCATTAGGAAGTTCTAACTAACGTTAAGGTGGAATCTCCTTTCCTGTAGTTTGAAGCCATTGTTCCATGTCCTAGTTTCCTGGGCAGCAGAAAACAAGCCTATTCCCTCCTCCCTATGACTTCCCCTCACATCTTGACACATGGGTATCATTGCACAAATAGAAATGACTTGTGTTTCAATAAACTGTCTGATTATGTCACATATAAATCCTCAAAAGGATTCCAGTCAAATTCTCCTATCCTTCCTTCCTTCCTTCCTTCCTTCCTTCCTTCCTTCCTTCCTTCCTTCCTTCCTTCCTTTCTTTCTTTCTTTCTTTCTTTCCTTCTTTTGTGATGATCTATGTTTTGACTGGGTATCTACCTAGAGCACCGTGGTATATATTTCATTACTTTGTCAGTGTGGTACTGAGAAGTAGGGATGAAAGAAATCTCACTCTACACAGTCAAATGTGCATATTCACCTGAGGAATTAATTCCTAACTTGCTGTAGTTTTCTACTCCCACCTTCCAACAACAGTTCCTTGTACTACACATCCCAAATCACTTTTATAACACACTCCTCCTCAACAACAACATCATCATCAACAACAACAATAACAACAAAACTTTATTTATATACCGCTCTATCTCCCTGAGGGGACTCAGAGCGGTTTCCAAGTAACATCATCAATACATACAGAGTAAACAACATAAACATAAAATTAACAAAGCAATATAAGCATAAAAATCACAACAGCACATATATATTTAAAATAATCCTGCCTGTTCAAGGCAATTTAAAAAGGCTAGGCCGAGGCTAGTGCAATTTCCAGAGGGCCCGGCCCCGGCCTTTTTAAGTGCAATGCTATAGCAGGCAACAACAATAATAGGTATAGTCTATGGCTGTTCATTTCCAGGGCCTAATAGGAGTAAGTGACCTCAATAAGTTATAGAAAAAGATATGGCCATATTCAACAATATCTGGGGTTGAGCTAGAACTAGTTGTTCTCAAAGCCTTGTTTAAACCACCATGTCTTCAAGCTCTTACAAAAGGAGGGATGGGGCCTGTGTTATTTTCTTTGGAAGGTTGTTCCAGAGGTGGGGGGCCACCACGAGAAGGCCCTCTCTCTCCTCACCAACCGTGTTTGTGATGGTGGTGGGAGCGAGAGGAGGGCCTCCCTGGAAGATCTTAAAGTTCATGCCAGTTCATAGAGGGAGATGCGATCACAAAGATAGGCGGGGGCCGAACTGTTTAGGGCTTTATAGGTCATAGCCTGCACCTTGAATTTGGCTCAGCAACTTATTGGCAGCCAGTGAAGCTGTTTTAAAAGGGGCCTTGTATGTTCCTTAAAGTTTGCTCCAGTAAGGAGCCTGGCTGACACCAATTGGAGCTTCCAGGCCATCTTGAAGGGCAGCCCCATGTAGAGCGCATTGCAATAATCCAAACTGGATGTAACCAAGGCATGGACCACACTGGCCAAGTCAGATTTCAAGAGGTATGGTCACAGCTGGTGCACAGGTTTGAGTTGTGCAAAGGCCCTCCTAGCCACTGCCGATACCTGAGCTTCAAGTGACAGTGTTGAGTCCAGAAGGACCTCCAAGCTATGGACCTGTGCCCTCAGGGGGAGTGTAACCCCATTGAGCACAGGTTGCTACCCAATACCCCAGGAGGACCTCTGTCTTGTCTGGATTAAGCTTCAACCTGTTAGCCCTCATCCAGTCCATCACAGCAGTCAGACTCCTTCTTCTTCTTACTCCCTGAAAATCACTGGGAGCTTATTAAGCCTGGAGTTCTTATGAAATGCTTGCCATTTTGAACAGTCGCCTGTATGCATGTTCTTGCAAGTATGAATCAGGCTTTGTCAGTCTTGTTCACTCTGTAGAACATTTGTGTTGGCCTCAAAGTGGATACGCTGTTTAGCACTGAAAGCCTGCATGATGTTCAGTTCAAGATTAATAAGAGGGCTGTGGAAATCCCATTAAATAGAGAACCTTAACAAAGAAACATATTATATTGGCATGTCAATAATATAAATGGGATCTTTAATGCTTAGAAAGAATATATTTTGTCATATTTGGCTAAATGAAACCGTGGATACTGGTCTTGTAGATATGGGGGTTGTACTTTACATATTGTTGAAGACTGGCTCAATGATTTTCCTGTTGACTGATGTGTTCTCATGTTTGAGACTACTCGTAGTATTGTTCTGTCTAAGAATAGAGCATGTTTTACACCCTGAAGGAAAATTTACTCATTTCATCAAAGCTCTAGAACCTTGTTTGTATGAGTCAAATAAACAATACACACATGTTATCATTCTATATAGCCAGTAAAACAAAATAGTTTCTAAGTTTCCAGGTAATTGACATGTTCTAAAGAGTTCACATTTGAATCTGATATATTGATCAAACGACTGAGGCTGAAGCAAAAGGAGAAATCAACTCCTTCCTCCTCTTTTTCCTTTTGCACTACTTTTCTGATAATCACCAGATACTAATGGCAAGGCTGGCCCAGTTTGAGGACCTCCTGCTGTTGACTGGAGAAGCTTTGATTGTGGATGGATCCCCTTAGAGCCATCAATTTTTCAGCTGGCAATCAGCAAGGTGAGGGAGGCTTGTCCAGGTGTGAGCGAGCAGGTTGTCCCAGACATCTGTTCCGAGCAGAGGCCTAGCTCCCCACCAGCCTGCAGCGAGGCTTCTGGATTGTCAGCAGATGTAGTTAAGGATGGAAAAACAGTGTTTTTGGTCTCACATTTGCTGCCTGAGGCAGGGCTGAAACACGAAAGGTAGAAAGGGGGTGGACACAGCTGCACTCCCAAATATGCCTCAGGCACAAAGAGAAGAGATCTAATGTAGTTTGACTCTGTTGTGGTGGGGAGATGAGGAGAGAGAGCCACTTCAGAGACAACTTAACGTGGCAACATCTGCCACCAAGTTTCGAGGGAGTGACAGGGGACAGCAGGTATAGATCGGAGTCCCCAAATAAACAGCCCGCATTAAGCCGTGAACTCTTTTGAAGGCCTTCCATCAAACGTGTTGGAGTCCTCAGCAGGAGTTTCATTTTTGTTTTTGTTTTTTTCAAAGCGGTGTTTTGGGATGGGTGTTGGATGGGGGTTTTTTTTAGTTGCACTAACAAGGTAATTTATAAATGATGCATCACCATGAGCCCTTGCTGTTTTGTTTAAAGTTGAGAGAAATAGAGGGAAGAAGAAAGAATGGCAATACTTCTGGGGTTGTTCTATTAAAAAGCCAGTTAATCCTCAGAAGTGCTTCTTGAATTTAATTGAGGTTATGTTAACCTTCAGACCACATTGGTACACCAAGGCAGACGCTGGAGTGCTTAAACGCAGTCACAGCAACGCTGTTGAAGAAGACGGCGTTGTTGGCTTTTTTTTTTACCTTTATTTCATAGCTTTTTCAAGGGACTTGATGCAGCAGAAGACAGAAACTTGGCATACAGTTCATTGTGCTCATCGGGTTCCTTTGCTCTTTATCTAAGCTGGCTCATGCATCTTGATTTACAAGTCAGGATTGGCATACAGACTCATAAATTACTCAAGCCTCTTCAGGACCTTTTGTTATTTTTTCCCATTTGGCTTTACTTCTGTTTGAAAGTTGCAACTATTTTCAATCCTGAAACTATATAAGACTATTTGAGAACACAGAAATGTTGGACCACTCCAACAACAACCATGTCAGACTACACAGAGAAGCCATTGAAATCCACAAGCATGTGGACAATTTCAACAGAAAGGAAGAGACCATGAAAATGAACAAAATCTGGCTATTTAAAAACTCTAAAATTAGAACAGCACAACAACAGAGAGGAAACGAACAAGGACATCTAATCACTTCTCAACAAAAGATTGCTCCAGGCACTGCCAGGCAATCAAATGCTAATCAAGGTGGTCAGTTAAAACATTTGCACCTAGCTCCAACAGATAAGAGTCCTTTGTCCCACCCTGGTCATTCCACAGATATATAAACCCCTTTTTCCTAGTTCCAACAGACCTCACTACCTCTGAGTATGCTTCCCATAGATGCAGGCGAAATGTCAAGAGAAAATGCCTCTAGAACATGGCCATATAGCCCTAAAAAACCTACAACAACCCAGTGATTCCGGCCATGAAAGCCTTCAACAATACAATATTTGTATAGCTTTAGAAAGACTTTAATGTTGGCTTTTGCTCAGAGTAGACTTGGAGTCACTGCTTTGCCAGGAGTATTGTGTGCAGAATTTGGTTTATTTAATTTTTTTATATCATTTTTATCCCACCCATATCAGCCCAAAGGCAACTCACTATCAGAATTAGGATTATGTAGGAATTCACTGTTGGAAACATTAAACAAGAAAAATTTCTGTAGTTGCACCTCAATGAATCTTCTGGGGAAGTCAGAAGAACCATGTTGGATGAAACCATATCTAATCCTGCATTTTATTTACATAGTGGCCAGCTAGTTGCCTATGGGAAGGCTCCAAACTTTCTGTGTAATAGCCCTTACCTGCTTACCTGCAGATATACAGAGGAATGCGGTCTATGACACTGGGGAGACTATATATCCATCACA